GTTATAACAGAACAAAAACCACTCTTCCCCACAGGTGGACTTTTGCAAAAAGTCCTCTACCAAAAAAACAAACCAAAACAAAAACTTAAAAAATTAATTTCCTGTCGGGGAACCATTTTGCCCTTTCCCCCACCAAACACTTTAACCGTTTTGAACAGATAACAAGTATCCCATGACAAGATTATGGCCCAGATACTCCAAGAGACATAAAGAAAAGTTCACCGTTTCTGAAATAAGCACTGACTTCCTGAATGAAGACTGTAGTGATTTAAATAACTCTGAGGCACTACGCCTTCTTTTTTAAATTTATTATTAAGGCTACAAAATGTCATTTAAAAGAAGACAAGAACATCCGCCCCTTCGCCAGACTCAGCAGTTTCAGAGCCAGTGTCACTCCAAGTTACAGAGACCATCACCAGAGCGTGTAACTTGCGGAAATACCCTTCTAAGGAAGGAAACCTGCTCACTCCGTCCCTTCCACTTCACACACACTGCGCAGTCTCCTGCTCCAGCCTTCCCTCAGTACGAACCCAACACACCCGTGTGTCACCGGGAACGTGAGCGCTGCTCAGGGCAAACAAAGGGCCAGCCAAAGGCGCTCGCCACTTCCACAGGCAGCCAGACACCCACAGCTCTGGGGAAGGCAGGGAGCGGAGAGAAAAGCTCTGCTGAAGAGCTGAACTGACTCATCGTACAAGTCACCTGCTCTTCCTTTCAAACACGTTAGGTTAGCGCTATTATTAGAAAACCTTGCCTTCTTGCTGGAGGTGCCACTCCCACATCCCTCTGCTGCGGGAAGGCTGAGGGGTCGCCACCACACCATTAACTCTTTGCACTGCCCGGCCAATACCGCTCGCGTCTGACAACTCTCACCAGAAACTGAGGGCGAGATGCTGCAATTCACCGCGCGGTGCAAAGGCAAAGAGAACTGTGCGTGGTTTTAGGAAATACCACCCGAGCGGGAGGGAGGCCGGTCCGCCACAGAAGCGGGGACGAGGGGAGGCGCGGAGCGGGCGGACCCCGCCGGGGGAAGCAGCGGAGGGGCCGGGGTCGATGGCAGAGCGCGGGGCGGGGGGGGGGGGGCACCCCCAGTACGGCCCAGGAGGGACAGAGGCAGCAACCGAGCACGAAACGGAGCAAAGGAACAAACAACCGCACCGCTGAAACGCAAGGCCGAATTCCGCGGGCAGAAAGGAACGGGGAGAGCGGCCGGGAGGCAGAGGAGTTTCCAGCAGCCAGAAGAAAAAGCAAAACGCGCACACGGACCCTTGCAGGGTCACTTCACACCCCCAGGGTTGGGGGGCTGCGAGCTGGAGCCGGCACCTCTGGCCCCGCGCTGATGCCCCGCGGCCCAGGAGGCAGCGGGCCCGACACTCGCCCCGAGCCCGCCACGGCCAGCGGCGCTTCCCGGGCGGGGCCGCGCAGCGCCGAGTCTCAGAGCGCGGCCGGGACGTCGCCCATGCACACCCCGCGAGCTTCCCGCCCGACGCTGTGCCGCCGCCGAACCGCTCCTCCAGCTGGGGAGCCACGTGCAACACTCACCGGGACCCGAAGCGCGGCTACCGCGTTGTGCGCGCCGCTCCCGATATTTGAGCGCCCGCTGAGGGCCCGGCGCGGCCCGGCCCCGCCCCGGGAAGGCGGGCGGGCGGGAAGGCGCGCGGCACGCGCCCGCTGAGGGCCCGGCCCCACGGCCCCGGGGCTGAGGGCGTGAGGGCCGGGAGGGGCCCGGGAGCGGCCCGGGAGCGGCCCGGGAGCCGGCGTCCGCCCGATCCGCGCTCCTCCACAGTTCTGGAGTTCTGATGGGTCCCGACCTGGTGCTGCTTGGCCAAAGGCTCCTCATACGCCATCTACAACCACTTCTCGCCCCGCCATATAAATGCACCTTTTCGTTTAATATCGTTTTATGGGCTTAAAATCACAGAACCACAAAATCAATTAGATTGGAAAAGACCTCTGAGGTCATCGGTTCCATCTTGTGACCAGACACCGCCTTGCCAACATGGCACTGAGTGCCACATCCAGTATTTCTTAAACACCTGCAGGGACGGTGACTCACCCTGGGCATCCCACTCCAATCTAATCACCTTCCTGTGAAGAAATTATTCCCCGTGTCCAACCCGAACCTCCCCTGGTTCAGGTTAGGACTTTGTGCTCTTATTCTGTCACTTGCCGCCTGAGAGAACAGGAGAGCCCCCATCTTGCTACAACCTCCTTTCAATTCTAGCAATAGAGTCCTACTCAACTAATTACTATTTAATACAGCCTTACACTTCAACGTAGCTCTGTCTAGAGCAATGGTTACCTGGCATTCAGTACAGATGTCCTTCCTGACACATTTTCCTTCCTAACGTGCCCAGTCACGGTGCCAGTGCCACGCTCAGGCTTTGGATGAGCTGAGTATGCTGGGGTGCCTGACCTTAGGGCGCTGGCGCTTTTTAAAGTCTGTGATTCTAAGAAACAGAGCCAATTCTGATTCATGTTTGCACCATGTTGGCTTCCCACTAGGAATAGTGTTGGGAAGAAAAGAATGACACACAAATATGTAAATTTCAAGGAACTGAAGTTTCTCTTTCCTGAAGCTGCTTTGTCCTGCAAAGTCAGCACTGCCCCAAGCAGCACTGTCCCCCTCTGTCCCTTCTGCCCAGTGTGTTTGTTTATTTGAGAAATCACTGTGAGGTTTTTTTATATCCGTTTGTTTCTGGTAGCTGAGTAATATGGATCATATATTTATATAGAACATGTGAATAACCAGAAAGAGATGTTATCTCTGGCTTACAGAAAGGCATGTGATTTCTGCACCTGAGACATGCAGAAAAGCACCCTCAGCAGGTTAGGAAATACTAGTTTATCCACTTTCCTGGTATCCACAGGCATTCATACTGTTACCAAGGTGCCAAGGCCAAATGGCACTTTTTCCGGAGCAGGGATTTTTTTTTTTGTTCCTTATTTGGAGTGCTTGTAAAAAGATGCAGGCTAAGGAAGGCGGCAACTCTTCATCATATCCCTTAAGCAGTATCTATAAATGAAGCATGAGGCCCCTTCTTTCCTGTGGCTCCAGGAGGAGATACAGCCACATGCCAGCACTGTTGCTTTCACCCACTATAGGGTCATTTTTCTGCTAACTGCTCCATTGCTGCCGATGCTTAGGATTTAAAGCAGAAAGATACACTCAGGACCTGCTGGAGTTCTTAAGAGATGTGTGGCCAGGTAGAATCCTTACAGGATTAGGTATTCATTCTCCAGTATGTGTGACTTAAAAATGCAGTTGCTAATTGCTGTCACAGCACTGATGGTGAGGACTCTTCAAAAAAAACCCTATAAAACATGAGGAAAGCCAGAATGGCAGGGGGATTGGAGGAATGACTTTCCCTTAGTTATTTTTCCTGACAAGTTACATTCATTGTCTTTAGCCAGGCTGAGTAGCTTATACAAGCTTACACAAGCTCCTGTAGCTTATACAGGAGGGCTGTTTAAGATAAAATATATCTGCTGCTGCCAGAAAGAGGCTCTGCACACTTCTTGATGAACCCACTGACAACCTTCCTCCTCTGCTTCTGAGGGAACATTCACCCTCCCACCTCGGTAATTTCCTCACCTCTCCACAGAGGGGTTGTGGTTCTGTGCCAAGGGGAACTTGCAGGGTGAGTTAGGCAGCTTCCTGGGCATGGAATGCCACTTGTGGAAAGGGTCAGAGGCTTCTGGAAGCTACTTTCATTATCTAGGGAAAAGGAAAGCAGCAGCTGCCACCAGGCTGAGCTCCTGGGGTGGGGTTTACTTGTTACAGGGTCTTTCCCGGGTGCAATTTCAGAGCTAATCTGTGCAGGAGCACTCATCTTGAAGGGCTGGCATAGGTTTTGCCCAAGCTAGGAACAGATAAAGCTCTTCCTAGACCCATTGTTCCATCCAGAGTTTGTACAACAGCAGAATGTCTTTGTTCCTAATGGGGATTGAGAATTAACAAATTTGCAATATAACTTAAAAAAGCCATAATAAAGTGTTGGAAACTATGGATGTGAGCCTCCTGTGTCCCAGAGTCCAGCAGCCACTTTCTAGACATTCCATTTTTCTTCTGGCATCAAGTGAGAAATTCTCATGACTGGCCTTCTGACAGCAGAAAGATCCCCCATCCCTGGGTAACCACAGCTTTCTCCCACTACTATTTTTATTCCCACTACTATGGGGGAGAGCAAGAGACCAAAAGAACAGGAAGAATTGTAAGGTTTGAAACATAAGCAGTGAGCTACTGCCCTGCTGAGCTGCACAAATGAGAGCTGTCATTCCTGCCACCTGCAGCACAGCCTGCTCACCCAGCCCCCAGGCAGCCTGCAGGCAAGGGGAAATCCAAGGCTGTCATCCTCCCGCTGCAGTAATAGGTTTCCTTTTATCACACCACCATAGGAACACCAGGGTTTATCCTTTGTTTTTTGGTTGTTTTTTTTTTTTAAGAATGGTGGAGCGTCAGGAAAATGAAACACATTGTTTGGGATTTCCCCAGCTGGCAAAATGAAACACATTGTTTGGGATTTCCCCCATCACCCTGTGTAAAACTTCTGCTTCTTAGAAAAAAATTTTTTTTAAAAAGTCAACACAGAGGCATTGATGTAATTTTCCCCATATTATCCTGAATGCTGCTACATGACCATCAGGCTACACCGGATGTTCAGGCTAGTACTGCAGGCTGAGGAAGTGAGCTTCAGCTACAAAAATGAAATCCTAGTTTCTATAACCCAATTTATATTACCTTCATCCCTTCTTGGCTATTTGTAGTAACTTCACTGAGAATCTGAAGAAACAATGTAGAATATGCACGGGTACTGGGGATGTTTGTTGATTTTTTTTCATCAGATAATCCAGAGTGGCTGAGAGTGAGTCAGCAAAAGAGTAATTGAAGGCAGGCACTTTAACACCCAGATTTATCTCTAGATCACCTCCTCTCAGGTCCTTATCAATCATCAACCAAAGAAGTGACATCAGAGGAAAGAAACAATAGCGCCACCAGCAAAAAAGAAAAAATAATTAATGACTTTATTTTTTTTTTTTTTTTTTTAGTTCAGTTGGCCATCTGAGGTGCTAAAATCTCAACACCAATGAAGCAAGTGTGCATAAAAACAAACGATAAAACACAACCAAATAGAAGAAAACAGGCTGGAACAGAGTTGGTTTTGTACAGGTAGGGTATTCACTTTTCTGTTAATGCTCCATACATGCCAACCGTAAGCGCCTTGAACAATCTGAATATCAGAGTTCACGTTCATACAAAAGGGCAGATGCCAAAGCAACTCCCTTTGCCTGGAGTAGACTTCACACACACACGCATGCACCCACAGATACAGAGTATTGAAATTACTGCAATGCCATCAGAACATGGCATCCTCCCCTTCACATCTGCTTTCAGTCACATCCTCATCTGCCTGCTACCCCGCCTAGTAGTAGGCATGTACAGGCAGGGTAGCAGGGTAGCACAATCCAAAAGCAGGAACTTTTTGAAAGCTTCCCATCTCTGTTACTTTGCAAAGGTCAACAGCCAGTGATCTCTTTCTCTGTGAATTATATACAGACTGGTTTTTAGTATGCTTTAGAGCTCTCTTCCTTGCAGACAGTGACAACTGAAATTCCCATTGCAGCTTTTCAGTTTGCACATGGGAGATTTTACAATGCAACAACACCTCTCTCAATCCACCGGTGTGTGGTGTAAACACTTAATGGAAAACTCATTTTAGAAGAATGTTAACCAAACAAGGTGTAGCTGCTCACACAAGGGAACTGCCGGCTGCTCTAGATCATGCTGTCTAGACCACTTAGAATATTTCATAACGTTCAGGATTAGGATGTATAAAAATATTAAAACCCACCAGAGTGCACACAAATGTGGTGACTAGCTCTACGCAAGCACCGTGTTCTAACAGAGGCCTAGGCATTGCACAAAACTCAGATTCTCGACCATGGGGGTAGCCCAAGGATCCACTGGTGCCTTTACATACAAACAAATATTTACAGAAAATGCAGAGACAGAGAGAGAAGGACAGACTTTTAAAACTTGCGGTTTGCTCTAAAATATGTTCAGCAATGCAGTTTATAACATGCCCTAGTGAGACCAGGGGGTATTGATTAACTGAAAGAAGGAATATGTCTGAAAGTTGGAGCTGAAATGTCTTGTCACCTCCCCACACATTAGTTCTCCGAAGCTCAGAATTTTACAGCCAGTTGTGACTTTTAATGAGAATATGGTTAAAAGGAACAGAACAGTTTAAAAAAAAATGATACTGTGAAAACAGCAGATTAGTTGTTCTGGCAGTCCTCACTCCCCCATCTCCATTTACCTCCTGGGCATTTCCTCCCAGGAGCTGGTGTTCCCCTCCCTTCCCCACAGGGGGCTGAAGGGCTTGCCCCATCCTCCGTGTGCCCATTTCAGAACCAGCACGGCTCAGGTTCCAAGCTCAGCTCTCTTCCCACCTGCTGCCGGGATGAAGCACAGCCAGCCCCGGGTCAGGACCGCATCACCTGGGGACAGCCACCCTTGTGTGCCCACATCTGAGGAGCTGAGGGTCCCCTGGCTCTCCTCACACGTGAAATGGACAAACGTCATTGAACGCACGTGGCTGAGTGCGCGCTGCGGGCAGCGCAAAGAGCTACAACATCCTGCTCGGATTCGGATACAAATAAGGAATCTTGTGCTCACAAGAACCTTCTTCAGCTTTAAAAATACAAAATTTGAATTAAAAATATTCAGAGAGTAAAAAAACCCACTATCCGATATGCAAGTCATATTCTTAAAGTGCAACTGAACAGCAAATAACAAGTTGTGCCTTTTACAACCATTTTGATATAAAAAGGCCTTTTAACATTCCCTTTTGTGTATTTTAATCAATTTGTGTGTGCGATGTTAGCTCTTTGTTTTCATTCTCGCTGCTGGAGGCCTTCAGCACAACCCAAAGAGTGTAGGGTTAGAATATGTGGGTTTTCTGTGCAATAAGGTATTACATCCTGAAGTGATCTCCCTCTTCAGCATTGGAAAGATCTGGCCAATGTCCCTCAGCACGAAAGGGAAACCATCTGCTGTTTCTTCTTCAGGACTTCTTTTAGTTCTACAGCTCACATTCAATGACCTTTTGTTACAAGTTAGATGTGGTCCATATACCCAGTGCACTATAAAATGGTCTGAGGCCAATTCTCTGCACGAGACAATTTACAAGTAAACTTTCCATCTTTCTTCCCTCTTTCTGCACTCCAGCTTCCAGTTGCCCCTCAAATGCAGACTGTAAACTACCATTGCCAGTCTCACTTGGGCAGCAGGCCCTGCACCAGCAAACAGGAGGGAATTCTGTTTGTTAGACATCCTGCTGGTAAAGCCAATGCTCTGGGATGCTGGAATGGCAGGTACCACTTGCTAAACACACACAGTTATGAAGTAGCACTGCAGCTGCCTGTCTGTCTGCTTGGTTTCACAAGTATCTGGAATTAATTTGTAATGCCTTATGTAGAATAAAGGGAGAACACTTTGGGTGGAAAACAGGGGTTTCCACAGTTAGCAACCAGCACTGCTCAGAGTCCCCATGGACACTCCTACCCATTCTCCCTCAGCCTGGGGCATTCTCCCAAGTCAGAGGTGAATTCAAATCATAGGCCTTGGCTTACAGGAGACCCCTCTGAAGGAGGTAGAGAGCCAACAGAAAGAAACCTTGCAAACTTCTGTGCCAGGGCAAAAGACTGAAGAATGTTCAGCCCTGCTGGGGTGCCTCGCACCGGCAGTGTCAATCCAAGCTGGCAGAGTCAGTAGGCTGTACAAATGTGCTTGGGAATGGGACTCGTTCTCAGAGACTTCAGAAAGCAGCCTTGGTACTTCTTGAACAGGAAAAGAACACAGTCTGCATCCCAAGGAGGGAAACCCTCTGGACACATCGTGTGAAGGATGGGACCCATCCCCAGTGCACGGTGCTGCTTCAGCTCTGCAGGATAGGTTAAGGACACGGCTTGCCCGGGGAGTCTGTCCCACAGGGAGTGGGGCTGAGCTGCTCAGTGCACATCCTGCTCATCAGTCATCATGTGGTTACAGTCATGACCCTCCTGGCTGAAAAGCAGCAGATTCACTAACTGGGCCAAAAGGAGCTTCTTCCAATAGATGCAGCAGGAAATGTGCTGGTTTTGTTTTCATGGAAATACCTCAAACTGTATCAGGACTGTGAGGATCCCCTCTTTCAGTGAGGAAGAGACATATGGGATATTTCTACCTCACAGTTTTGGCTTTCTTGTTATAAAAATGCAAAATTTAAATAAATATAAGTTTGTTAGTCCAAAAGAGAGAATGTGGGATGTGGAAGAAAAGGATGCTAAGAACACAAATAGATTATTAAACTCCATGAGTGCACAGGATTTTTTCATAGATGAAAACTCCTAGGGCAGGATGCATCCATGGGTACATAAAGGCTGCCCTTGCTGTGAAGCAGGGACCAATCCGCAGTAGTGTCTTTCTCTAACAGAGTTAAAACACTCCCTCCACAATCAAATATGTGTAACAATCAAATTATTATTAAGAACACTAATAAATAGCCACAGGTAACAACGTCCAGTAATTTTGAAGTGGAAGTTGTAGGATGCAGCAGGCACACACACCCATCACTCGTCCATTTTTTTTCCTAAAAGATACAAAAATGAATCTTCTTTCAAGTATTAAAAAAATAAGTTAATTGACATAAAAGGGTCAAAGTGACTGAGGGCCCAGGCAGGTCTTAAGCTTTGTTTCCAATGTGCAAAAACAAAATACAGAAAAAAAAAAAATAAAAACACTGAAAAGTCTTAATGGTGGTTCAGTCACTTAAGGGCTTCTCCCTTTTAGGGGGCCTAATAACCAGGGAATGCTGCCTGGGAACACCCCTGCCCCAGCACACACTTACCACTGTCCCACAGCAGTATTTTCCAGTGTCAAAACAGTCACAATAAAAACAGAACAAGGAAGCCCACCAGCCTCTGAGCTGTGGCCATGAAGACTAAGGCCAGCAGTAGCTGCCTCTCCAGTGTAGCAAAGCAGGCGGGCATCTTCCCTCTCTTCTGCTCCCCTTGTTCCCCACAAGAAGATTCAGGAGGCTAAGGTAGGGAAAGAGTCCACTGATGCCCACTTCTCTCCAAAAACCAAGAGGCAGAGAGTTCCATCACACATAGCAGTATCTTCTCTGTCTTGTATTTCTTCATATCCATGCATAAGGATCAACTGCAGGTTTCTTTGGTGGGGAGGAAGACTAAAGCAAAGAAGGTGTTGCCCTGGGCTTCTGGAGCTCTCTTGGACAGCTGACTCCACTGCTACAGGCTGCTGTGGTTTTTCAGGAAAGGTTGCCACTTTCCTCCCTTTTATTAGAACTGGTGTAGTAAAAATGGGAAAGGAATGGACTGCCTTATATCCAATGTAGTTAAGGGTACTTCTTCCCTTAACCTCCTTCCCCACACATGGATTATTCCCCCCTCCCTCCTACCACACACAAAATATGGTCCATCGTACAGGACCTCAAGGAGACTCCACAGTCTCAACTCATTTCTTCAACTTGGCTTGCAGACATGTAAAACTTAAGCTTCTGGAACCAACACACTTATCAAAAGGCTTCTGAGTGCTTCAAACCAAATCCTTGCATGCTGTTGGACCTTCCAGAGGTTTCCCCTTCAACATCTTCCTATCCACGTAATTCTGGCAAACTCAGGGTAGGCCAACTGGACAACATAGACCAGCAGAGGTAAATGTGCTAAGCTCAGGACCAGTTCAAGCTAAAACCTTTGGAAAGCATGACTGCCTCCAGGTCCTTGTCTTCTTCTTTTTCTCGAAGCCTCTGCTCCTCAAGGAGAGCCACAAGGGAATCTCTCTGCTCCACTACTTCAAGCATTTCGTTCAGGATCCTCTTCTCTTCCGAGAGCTCCTCATCTGTCTTCAGGTGATCTACAGAGATATCAGGAACTATGAGCATACACAAGGCTGGAAATACACACATACAATCCATGAAATATTCCCTTTTGCTCTCACCTTCTACTGCCATCCTCTCACGGAGTTCCTGCTGCAGTCGACTCTGCCTGTCTTCCAGTTCTAGCTCCCGAGCACTAAAAGGAAAAGGGCAGAATCCAAGTTCCAGATGTAATAAAATACTGCATACATTGCTTCATATTCATTCTCAGCTTCTGCTCCCTCTCTAGATATCTGCTGTGCATTTTACCAATCTTGTTTGGAACAACTCTTCAATAACTTAAGATATGTAACTGTATTTTTAAAAGCTTTAATTGCACTTTTAGCATTTCACGTTATTTGCCTGAAGCTAGGAAGTGCAATGCCAAAAGTGGAGCAAACTAAATATACAGCAGAGTCAAAGAGCAAATAAATCTGCAATGCCTCTACATATCCCCTGCTACTTCCCACTTTAAAACAAAAGTTACTTATTAACAAATTACTTATTACTTAAGGACACTATCAAGCTATTGCAAACACCACCTTGGGACTTTTCTGCCACTAAGGCCATCAGCTTCCACATTGCTGAGGTGAGCTGACACACTCAGAAATTAAGTTCAGTGAATTTGCACAGAAATTCACTGAAACAGAATTTGGAAGGAACAGAAAATGCCCCCCGTTTCATTAACAGGAAAACACCTTTACCATCTGAGCCCATGTGAGAGGCACTGGGGTCCCACTAGAGGCAGAAAGGAGAGCCACAAGGCAAGGTGGCTGAATTAAATTCTTTTGGCTTTACTTAGAAGAAAACTTTACCAAAACCAGGAGTCCCATGTTATTTCTGCATAGCTCAAAAACACTTGCACAAACAGGATGCGTTTTATACAACAACAGCATGGGAAGGACTCACATACCTGTACTTCTGCATGTGCACAAATAATTGGAACTTTCGTCCCTTACCAATATTATTCTTTCTTCTACCACTCCTCTAAAATGTACTTTGGGATTCCTATCTCAGCCTAAGAGGCTGCTGACCTCTTGGCCTTCCAGGGAAGTCAATACTGACAGATCTTCCACTGCTATTTATGACAAAATCCCCATTTTTTCCACATTCACTCACAATATCATCAGTTCAGACTCGTAGCGAACCAAGGCATTCTTCTCCTGCACCAGCTTGAACCACTCCTGCATCAGCTTGGGGTCATCCTTCTTACCCATGCCTGCCAAGAAAGAAACCTGGTAAATTTTCAGGTAACGCCCTGCAATCCTTACAAGCCCAAACTGCAAAAACAACAATGGGGCAAAATGTGCAAAGAAAGCCGAGCAAGATGCTGCCAGAGCACTCCCAAGCCGGGTCCGTTCACTTTGCCTACAGCACTCAGCTGAGTGGAAGTCACCTCCAAAATGATTCTCTTCTCTTTGGAGCCTACTTTTTTTTTGTTTCTGATATTCTTGTGATTACTTGTTTCTTCCTCACTCTTACTGCAGAAAGCCCCAATTTCTATGAGTATTTAACTTTTCCTTTCATTAGAAGAATTTTATAGATGCTCATGCCAGCTACTTAAATGTATGCTCATCAGAAAAGGATTCAATTGCCACTCCATGTGTTTTACCTTTGTTTTCTTCAGTTACATGTCCTCAAGTTTTTTTTTACTAGCCAAAAATAACATCTTGTCTCTTCTTTTTTCAACAGTTAAGTAAATCTTTTCTGACTGCTCCTCCTAGCCACACATATCTATTCATCTTGAAGATCCCCCTGCACAGTGAACACAGAAACTAATTCTACTGTACTGCATACCAGCACTAGAAAGAAAAGGAACCCCCAGACACATTTGCTAATATGAAAAAAGAATAAAGAAACCTTGGGCCTTGACCACCCAGTACAGAACTCTTTGCCAGTCCTTTTATTTTAGAACAAACTCCTAAACTAACTCAAAGTCCACTGATGAGTTTTGTGTCTGTCAGGAGTCATGTGGAATAAATGCAGAATGCTGTTCCCAAAGCCTTCTGTTGATATTTAGCAAACACAAGAACTTACCAAGGAGGCTCCTCCTGGTAAGCTCTTGGTCTGGGCCACTTATTCCACATTGAACCACCTGCACCTGAATGCTGTGATTAACACCAGACCCCATCAAGGCCAGTGGCAACATTGCTGCCTGTGTGGCAGTAGAAGCAGGAGCAAGGCCTCAAATCAGGCTGAGCAGCACTTTTGGATTGCTGCATCCCATCAGCTTGCACTGCACGTGCCCTAGGCATCCCAAGGTAACTAACACCCCTGTCTCTGCTTGTTATTGTGGATAGGTACTCCCTACATAAGAACAAAAACTCTCAAACAGTCCATCTAATGCTAAATTAATCAAGCAGCAAGCTCACTATTCAAACTCTACGACACAGACACAGCACAAATACCACATTAATGGCTACTTAATTCAGACCCATACCGCATTAATGGCTACTTAATTCAGAGCCATGCCCTGCCTCATCCTCAGTAGTCAGAGAAGCGCTGCCCTGCAGTTACACAAGGGAGAGCCTACAACTCCTAGTAAGCTGCAGCTTGGGCTGCCTTTGGAAATGTGTCATAGCAGCCCCTGGGGGAACACCAGGCTGGGCTGTACCACCCTAAGAGCCCCTGAGGACTTTATAGCAGTGTGTTGCTCAGTTCCAAGCATTCCTTTCTGAGCATCTCTGCACAATATGCCCACGTGGCGACAGGAGAGGGAGACTGTACATGCAGATGTCCAGTGCTGTGGCGCCATGAAAACACTGGGAAGTCTCCCCTTCCTTTCCAATGCCAGGATGTATAAAAAACAAATGCCTCTAAGAAAAAGCCAAAAACACAATGCTACTGACCTATGGAATACGTATTTTTAAACAGCCAATGAGTAGAGGAATAATGGGAGGACTGGAAAGGGAGCACTGACAACTGATGTGAGGGAGCACTATGGAAAGCAGATAAGTGGTTAGCAAAATTACACCATGAACACACATAAAACAACCCCTTCCCCATGCCTTGGCAATGGAAACTCTACAGCAAACTCCATTTGGGATAGTTAAAGAATGCACTCAGCAAGACAGATGAGGGAGAACTAGTCTAACTTAAGGTCTGTTGGTTTTTAAAGTTCACGGATGTTTTTCAAATCAGTCCTTATAAAGACACAGTATTCCTTTAATCCCTATATGCTAATTAAAAGGCTGTATTTAAGGAAACAGATTGTCATTCCCTTACCCCACCTTCCAAACATGTTTCAGGAGGACTAGAGTAATTGAAGCCACCAAATGAAAATAGAAACTTTTGAGTGTGACACTTCTGGTCCCACCACAGCTGCTGCCCATTGTCCCTCCCAGTCACCGCACCTTCTGTTGCACAGCTGGGACTAGCAAAAGGGATACTGTACCTTTAACAGCTTGCCACAGGCTCAGAGAAGCTGGTTACCAGGTAGCTATAGACAAGGTTGGCTTGGGGACACAGCAAGAAAAGGGCTGGGGGCCTTGTGGTCACTAGCTGACTAGTGCTGCTATGAGAACCCAGCTGTGGGCAGGAGGACAGGGGTGTGTGAGGTTACGTTACCTTCATGGGCACAGCAAGGGCAGAAGGAGAGAGGTCTACGACGTGGTGTCCCGCCATTGGGCTCAACTTCAATAGGACCAAACGAGGAAGAGGAAGAGGCAGGAGAGGAAGAGGAAGTTGGAAGTGGAACGGAAGAGGAGGAAAGGGGTGAAATAAAAGACAAGCAAAGGACAAAAAGCATAAGAGTGAGAAAGAAAGGAAACACAAGAAGAAAAAGAAAAGAAAAAATACAAGAAATGGAGAAGCAGAAACAAGGGATACAGTCTACAGATGAATAATGTCCCTAATAAGCACAGATAACAGGTAAGAGGTAGACTGAGGTACTGGTGAACTCTTACTGAGCTGTACAAATACCAGGCAGGAGGTTACTGTTACTGCACTTTTCCTAATGTACAGTTTGCAGGTGCAAGGTCTTTAACCAAAAGCTTTGCAACCCAGATGTCAGGACGAGTAGAGACATGTATTTAACTTCTGCTGATAAATGTCAGATTTCAAGCAGAGTTACAGTAAGTCTCACCTGCATGCATAAGACACCAGCTGTAAGCAGCCACCCTACCTTCAGCTCTATCAGGACCATGCTCTTATTACCGTGGCAGCATCCACTGATGGTAAAAGTGTCCTTTGTAATGGGATAGAATGTCTTCAGACAGGGAACACCACAGGGAGAATCTGATTACCATGGAACCAGCCTGCCAGGGTCTGCTGTGTCAGGTATGGTGAGTACACAGGTACCCCACCAGATTGCTGTGCTTAGGGGGGAAAAGGCTTTTACACAGACAGTGGTTCACATCGGGGTCTGTGGGGGCAGTGACCAGCTGAGGACTCTGCAGAGTTAAACCAGTAAATTTAAAGCTCTCCCTTGGCATTCTCATTCCACAAAGCATTTTAAGGCTTACAAGTCCTGTTAGTACCAGTGCCTTACTGAATCTTTATCATCTTTTCCATCAGCCAGCGAAGGACAAGCATTTCTCATCTCTCAAAAGGTTCAGCCTCTTTAACACCAAGAATTTGCTTTTCAGTGGTACTTAACGTTACAGAGATAAACAGTAGGCAGTAACCAATATCACTAATAGTTACAGGAGAATGTGCACCAGGGAGATGATGAACTCTGAAACATCAGAGCTACCAGAATGGAACACTTTGGGCTCAGGGCACAACTGCATTTATAAAGAGGAGGCATTTCTGTGTTGGGAAAAGGCATAAACTCCACAACAACAGTATGGTAAGAATAACACTCATTTTGGAGAAGTCAGCAGAGTTTGATGTTTGTGGTTCACAGAAAGCTCTACAAAATTAGAGTACCAGTGGACTGGGAAGGCTTTAGAAGGGACCATCACAGAACTAGACCGCACATGGATGACACACTGGAGCAAGAGGGAGAGCACACCAGCTTCAAAGCCTGTGACTGAGCAGCAGGGTTTTCTCAGAAGAAGAAACCTCTGCACTGGAAGCAGGAAGGGGCAACATCAGGAGAGGTGCCACAGCTGGCCATAGGACAGCTACAAATAAAGCACTGTACCAACAACATCTAGAAAGCACCAGAACATTAATTACAGCTGTTCTGAATTTTCCAACTTCTTCATTTAAAATAGAAAAATACTAAGGCTTTTTTTCCTACAACTGCCATTTCACAGATCAGGTTACAAAAGCAAAACCAAACAAGAAAAACCCCAAACCACAGAGGTATGGTGAAGAATATGCTTCCACACAAAGCAGAGCATTTAGTGCATGATACTTGGTAAATATTTTTTATTTCCCATCCTATCTTATTCAAATTAATTCTTTAAGCTAAAAGCTTTAATACTCTAACTTGGTCTAACCAGTGTTTTGATGGTGGCCAGGGAGATGGAGATTTAACTATGGAAAAAATCCACAAGAGATTTCATTCAGAACAGGGGGCTGGGGGGATTTGATACATTTCAGGCCATGGACATAGAGACTTGGTGAGGAGCTTCCAGTTTTCCATATTTGAGCTGAAAGGAGATACCCAGTATGTGAAAATATAATTCATCTCATTGTGAAATGGCCATACACTGCTAGCTTTGTCATCAGCAAGCAAGTGGTCTGATACTAGGAGAGGATACCAGCTTTGGTCTCCAGTAAAAAGCCCCAGGGATCACACAGCACCTGACTAATACAGAGCTCACTCCCCACAACTGCACTTTCCTCCCCTGCTCTTAGTTATCTTCCCATTCTTGTCTAAAGAAAATTTGTCCTTGAATCAAGTTACAAAGTCCATGGTATCTACACTAATCCTGCTACTACAAAAGTCAACATGTTTTTTCAGTAAGATAATAAACATAACCTTTGCAATTAAGATCCTTTCCAGCTACTCTAGATGTAAATTACAGTTAATTAAATTGGTGAATACAGGTTATGATCATTGCAATTCTTTTGAAACAATTTCTGTCCAAAGTAGGATGATTAGCAAGGCTTTAGAAAGTCTTCCTTATGTATTGGAGGATCCTTAACAGCAAGAACAAAGTGCAACCTTAAAGTTTACTTCCTGTGGTTCTCTAAAGCTTATTTTATGGCTTATTGCTCCAAAAGCCATTACTAATCCTACAGTAAATAGTATTATTATCATTACTTTTATTAATATTATTGCATTGTTTAGAGAAGAGAAATCACCACCTCCCAGTCTCATTAAATTACAAATAGGATCATCACTGCAAGACAATTTTTCTAGATGTGGAGCCAGGGCCAGATAGGGAAAATCCCATTTGTTGTGCAAATTAGAAAAACCTCAACAAATCTAACCTCCCTTTCTGTTTAAGTCCCCTTCACCACCAAAAATATACTGACACAGGTATTCACCCACAACATGGAGAAGTTCTGGCAGCAGCAATACCCACTGAAGCAGTTTGTTTGGAAGGAGCTGAAGGGCAAGAGAAGAACCATTTCTATAATCTCCCCTTTTTAGGGTGCTGTGCTGCCAGCAAGTAAGGTGTGGCTATAGCCTCTGGACAGAAAATTCCCATTTTTTCACCAGAGGGATAAAGCTGCCAACAGACTATGTTAGTCACGAGTTGCTCCCTTTCAGTGCCACAAGCCAACTCTTCTTTTGTGCAAAGCCTTGTAAAGCAGTCCCAGCTGCTTGCAAGCCAGAGCATGGTTTGAAGGCAGGAGCTGCAGCTTATTAAGGAAAGGAGTTCCTAAGCACACTGAACATTCTCAAGATGCAGAAGCTCTGCCTTGCACACCAGACACACCCCATCAATAAACTGACCAGAATTACTTTGCTTCTGTGTAAAAAAGCCACAAGAATGACCTTGTTTGTCACAGTACTCTTGAGAGATTGTAGACTTTGCTACAGTGGTGGAAACCAAGAGCCAGGTGAAGAATAAATACCATAGCTTCAAAGTCTCTTCAAAACAAGGACCAGAAATTGTATAGCCACTATGTTCATTTTCACTGCACATTGTTCTTTGTTACAGAAGCTACATTGGACTGCTGCATTCTTTTCTAATCTTCGTTTACCTGTTGATTAAAGAGCAATTCTTCAGTCTGGTTTTGTCCTTTTCCTCTCTAGCTCCATAACACTTCTTCACAATCACAAGCCCGGTGGTCAAAATGATCGATCAGGACGAAAAAGCACGGCACAGAGTTTGGGGTGGCAGACCCCATTATCCCCAGGCTACAGCTCACACTGATCCCCTTCACTGTTTGCCTCTGTTTTTTGATATGAGAGCTGTGATGATTTCTGAGAAGTGGTGAGTCAATGCAAGTTAAATTTACTTGAACAGATATACCACTGACCAAGTGGGATCACATCATTTGCAAACTTTGCATCCAAAGCCTTGGATTTCTACATTGCTGACTAATCACAGTGGTTTGGAAAACAACAACAATGGACAGAAAACCCCAGCTCTGAGGCCAATCTCAGTTCTGTGGAACTTGCCCTCACAAGTTACAAGCATGACACTTTGGAAATTTATTCTGCTAACAAACGCCATCCCTCTATTTATCAGGAATACTGAAATCTCTGACTTTAAATCAGTGCTTAAAATATGGATCAATCCAGTAAGTGAAAGGGCACTGATCGTAGTAAATGTCCTCTTTTCCACCCTTAAGATCAGGTTATGATCAGAAGCCCAGGTACTGAAAAAAAAGCACTCTTAACTTTACTATTTGGTGAAGCTTTTCAACAGCAGCGTTGTTAAAAACCAGAGATACAGAAAGCCAACTCTTGGAGAATAGCATCCACAGAACTGCAGGTTGAGAGCAAGGATTTTGGCAATGTCCCACAAGCACATCACAGTTTATTAAATCTGGGTCAAACTCAATATCCTCTATAGTACAATCACTAGAAGAAACCTGGGGAAAACTCACAGAGAACTAGATTGTCATGCAAACTGAATCACTTTTATTTATCCAGCAGAAAGGGGTGGGGGAAAGGCAGGGAAGGGAAGGGAAAAAAATGGGGAAAGCGGTGGTTGGAGCAGAACACACACACAAATGACTCCAGAGAAGTGTTCTGCTTCTACTAGACCTTGAAGCACTTCAGAATGCATTCAGAATGAATACAGTCTTGCACTGACCCTGCCTCCCAAGACTGTTGTTTTTATGTGCAGAAAAAAGCAGGTAAATGGCAATTGCCTAACAAGTACTGGTACTTAACAAGTTCTGCTTATCAAGTGCTCTTTCCTGCTCAAAATTTACAGCAAAGAAAACAAGTTACCAATTCACTTCAGAGTCAAAAACGGCTGCAGACTGCAAAAACAATGTTTATCTTACAACTCCATTCCCCTTTCAGAAGAGCTGCGTTTGCCAATCACAAGAAATAGGACTGATCCCACTTGAATATATCAGGCTCCAGCCTTGCAGAGTTAGACCTGCAAGACTTTAAAAGACATAGTAAGCTCAAATGTTTTAAATAAGTTTAAAAAAAAGGTGAAGTTGTTGTAGAGTGTGCTTTAAATAGAGTACAAAGATTTTTTAAAAACCCCAAACAATTGCACTTCCCTGCCCTGTTTACCTGATGTCATAAGGCCCTTGTCAAGAAGTGAAAGGATGTGTCTGAAATCAACACTATCAAACATACCAGCTCTCTTCCCTACATCCTT